TATCTTGATAAATATACCTTGATATTTATAAAATAAATTGATATAATAATAGGCTAGCAATGTTGTGCTTTGCGTTTGTATCCAAGCGTATTCAAACGTGTCAAATGTTGATAACTAAAAAAAAGTAACACACCAAATCGTATTTATTTAGTTTTCTCTGCCTGTCGTGTTTAGTAAAAAATTAAAGGGACAACTATAATTCTCATGATAATTATCAAAGGAAACAAATATCATCATAATTTCGAACCCTGCTTTTAATATTATCACCAAAATTAGGCGAATCGGCGTCTTGGGTGACAGTTCCTTAAAGGGAATCCGATTCCATTGCTTTTAGCAGCACCCATACATTTCTGGATTCAGTATTAACGTTTCTTTATGCAGTAAATATCAAAGAAACAGTGTCGTAAGAAATGGGGGCAAGGGAATCTAGTTAATATGAACAATTTATGTCGCGTAACATCCAGTTTAGTATCTAATAGGAAATCTGATTGTAATGGCTGTTTATAGACGGTAATCAAAGATGTTATCGCGCCTCGTAATTAACATATAAATATTTAGGAACGATATTAAAATAGGTTACTTGAAATTGCAGAATAAGATTTAATTTTTAGTATTTTGTATTTAAGGAGCTTTATAGGATTAAGTCTAGGCTAATTGCAGTAAGTTAAATGTTTTATTGCTTAAATCGGCTTGCGCAGGTTTTTTTTATTGCTGTAGGTAAGTGGATCGCGAATTTACGGCTGCAGTAACTATCCTGTACATGGTGTAACTAAAAGGTTTAACAGTGTCGTCTCTCTCCGCATTAATTGCAGTATCTGACATCTTTGTCATAACTAAGCAACTCGTATGAATGTTCACAGCCTTTCATAGCAAACATTCTTCATTAATCGGAATATTTTTCAAAAATAAATATAAGTTATTGATAGAAAGAGAATCGAGGTTTGTTATGATATCAAGTGACAAGGACGAATAAGTCGTGCGCCTGGTGTTAAGCGACACGCCTGTCCATAGCAGTTGCAGTGCTAATCAGAGCCTTAAATGGCACAGATCTGAGAGACACTGCCACTGCGCTTGTCACCCTGAGACATAAGTTGACAAGTCCCATGTGCCTGTAATTTCACCAGCACCCTGGCCCTTCAAAACCGAACCATAGGTAAGGTGGCAGTATTTTCCTGGACAAACTGTTTGTTTCATAAGGAGCAATATTGCTACCAAAGGTACACTTCCAGTGATTAAACCTACGTAAACAGTAGATATTTCAGGTGGTAATCGTGCTCCTTACAGTACCATACCAAATAACTACGCAAAAAGGTATTAGAAAATTTACATAAAATGTAATGCAATGTGCGCGATGAATTAATTTTTTTCGTGATTCAAACTTAATTAGCGCCCTTGGTGTAATAAAGCCACATCTACGAAATGACAACTTTTCAGGACTTTTCAGGTTTAAAGATTCTATGAACAAGCTTTGTCAATAACTTTTATCGCTCATGCTCGGACGAATGTTCTCGGAGTAATTTCCGTGCCAATTTTTATCATTTAAATATTCAAATATGTTGTGTAATTATTAAATAATATTTCACGATACAATACTCGGATATTAAAGAATATTGCACGATAAAAAATCGAATACATAAATAATAAAAATTGCCATAGAAATTAGATAGTAACCGCTAGTCCTAGAATGACCGTTGTACGCCTATAAAGCTAAGATAAAAGTTCACATTATACTTAGTTTATTAATGTAGTTTGTATTATTATTATCATTTTCATTTGACAAAAGCGCTTTGGACGTATGATCGCATGTGGCTTTATTTATACCAAGGGTGCGAATTTTACGCTAAAGTTGTTTGTTTTCATGAGTACGATCACCTATGGAAAATTTTTGTTTAACATTTACTTTAGAAGTAGGTAATAATTTATTGACCATTGTAACATCCATACAATATAATTTTAACGTATAATAAAGTTAATATAATAGAAATAGATTATCCAGTTGACTGTACCATTGGTTCATAAACACGGATAAAATCTCCAAGATGCGGGCCACGGAAACACTCGGTACAATTTCCTCCCGTACAGCACAGACAGCAATTTATGTTGACGCTGTCCTACTCTATATTGTTATTAAATCACTGTAAGAGGTTTATTACTCTTTATAATGCTATCAAACAATCCCATTTTAGAGCGTCATATTTAAAAGCCAGACCACCTTGAACGCATTTCAAGTTTAGATTTAGAATAGATAAGTACATACTTATACTAGTTGTGTTCGTTTTTTGTTGCTCTAAAAAGTCAAAGAATAAATAGGCACATATAGTTGGTAGTAAGAAGGTACATAACCGGTGTAAAACATTGATGAATGGGGTTTGAAGATTAATAGAGCATATTAAGAATAACGTACTCTCGTGTATAAAGAATAAGGTGTAGTCCATGGAATAAGGTAAGTTGTAGGCGCATCTAAATTTTGGTGGCGTAATATTTCGTGTAGAGATGTAAATTAATTTTAAAAAATGTGCGTACATATGTAAATGTCAACTTGATGTACGATAACGGTACCTAATCACGCAGTTGTCGTTTCGTTCTTTTCGTATAATAGGAAATTCGGTTGTCGGATTCGGTTGTACTCAATTAATTATTGCGACACGTTCTTGTTACCCCGTTAAGAAGTAAATTGATAAGAAGTTTATCGGTTAACGAACTCAACAACTGCGCTAAGTTGACTAAGTTGCCATTGCAATGTCCCGTCTATTGTTTTGTTACAATTTATAATTCATTTAAAGTAAATTTCAGTGCGATTGTTCATTGGTATGAAAGTGAAATAATTGACGTATTTGGTTTAAAATGAATATTTACACCGCTGGCTGATGACTAGAAGGCATCAGCTGTGAAACCTTTTGTTAACATTTCACAACACGTACACAGCATTAGGGCTTCGAAAAACAAAGTTGTCCATAAACTTGGCAAACGTGAGATAAGGAAAGGGGATTGCTGACGGCGAAATAAAACAACTATAAAAGGACAGGGAATGCAAAAAGATGACATTAAAACAACACTTAGCGCTTATCGTCCAGGTGAAAGGTTGTCAAAATGAGTCGCAATGTTTACATTCACGACAGCATTAGTCGCTTAGCGAGAGTTTAAACAGGCACTTTGTTTTCCATTCAGAGCTCTGTTTTCTTTTAGTTAAGTCCCACGCTAGATCAGCTTGTGAACAAGGGCTCACTAAAATTGGTGCCCTTCCATGGCTTGGGAACTAATGCCATGGGAATTTGACAAAGAAGGGAATGTTAAGGTACATGAATTATGTTAGGTAATATTGTCGATTTATGCATGTATTAGAGTTTTTGCGAGTTAGATATGTGAGGCAAAGGGTATCGATATTCTTCTATCGCGTAATACTCCATAGCGTAACGGACTTTACAAGCATAACTACGGTAGTTGACATCTTTTTATTTTTGAGGTAAAAGGAAAATTGTTCATAGACGTCTTCAAGTAATTATGGAAACGTGTGAGGACTGTATCCATAGGGAAGTTTGAGGTGAGTCAACGTAACTACACAAGTCCATTTAGCAACGTGGGCAGGCGCATTGGAACCGGAATATTGGACAGAGTGTGCCTACCGAGAAAGGTGGAAATGGAATTATTTCTATGAACCTGGAAATCAATGAAATATGATCAGATCTTAAGTCTCGTCATCGAACGAGTTCATTTAAATGCAAAGTATTCCATATTGCGACAATCTACAGTTATTTCAAAACATTGCCCACATGTGTTGCTACGCTTGTTATCGGTACATTTTCGATTAAGATCGAAATGAACAATGTTGAGATCTTCGTTATCTGGAATAAACTACGATCCATCACATCGTTGTTAAATACTCAGGCAGCCGGCGAGCTTGCAGCATAGCAAAGGCTGGAAATTATCTCAAGACGTTTTTATGAGCCACATTGGAATCTGAGTGTTTTTTCCCGTGAGCCCCGTTCGAACGCCGAAACAGGTTTTTAGATAGCGCTTGGTAATGCATCAACATGGAACGTTTTTGTGGAGGCGGCGCATTCAAGGAGTACCAAGTAATGAGGTTCTCAAACGGTCATTTTATTCAATGAGCCTCGATTTACTAACACTCGCTTCATTTGTTCGTCCCTTTAATAGGTTATGGGTACTTATTCACGTAGACATACGATGTCACACGATGTATGTGTAAAGATCCGACATCCGATTTGTATGAAATCCAACGCCGCACCCACGAGAATCGGATGTCAAAATTTTTAATTTTACATGTAAAATTAAAAACGTCGGATCGGTGTTGGAACAACGCTTTAGACCAGGGTGGGTTTTTAGACTTGCGGGTCTGGAGATTTAACACTTGAATATGATGACAAAAATCACAAGATCGGCAAAATGAAGAACAATATACTTGCAGGAAAACGCAACAGAAAAATAATAAGTAGTTACACCTGTGATGTTAACCTAAATAACACATACAAAGTTATATCAAACGTACACCTAGATAAATTATGTACTTGTATAACTTTTATAACATTGCCATTCCAACAAGATAACGTTGATAATACATGCCCGAGATAAACAGAATGATAAAATTTGTAATTGTACTGCACAAGATAAGATTGTTGGGCGTTCAGTAATTCCATTGAAGCCGTCCACGATTTATTGTTTTCTGATTAGAGACAGAAGCGGTGAGGTTATCGGAAATTTAGTTCAATTGGGTTAGTGTGACGATTGTCACATTTATTTCCAAGGATATGCATCCATTTTGTATATTACTTCTAATCTAGATAGTTAATACTACCTGTGCATTGTTATTTGGGTACTAACCGAGTTTGAGTATTAATTGGTATACCCATTGTCGTATGCGCTATATGCTAATTTGGAAAATCAATTCTCTCCGCACTTCTGCAGCGTTTGTGTAATGAAGGAATCTAACCTATAAACATAAAGTAATAATAAGCGTGTAGAATAAGGTAAAATGTACTTACGGACTGGCACTTTCTTCGGGTCATATTTCTGGACAATTTCGCTGATTTTCTCGATTTTTGCATGTGCGAGTTTGGAACGCTCGGTGATGCCGTGGAGTTGCCCAGTCAACTCGCTGAAGATATCCTCGGCAAGCAGCACGAGGGACGCGAGTTGACGCAGAGCATTGCTCAAGGTGCAGTTTGTTACCGCTTGCAACTCCTCGTCAGACACTCTTGGATTCCCGTCCTCATCACGCAAACTGGTTCGCGAAAGATACTTTGGCTCCACCACGCGCTGCACGAACGGCATCTCGATACAAGTTCGCAGACCCTAACCCACTACTCACCCATCCCCGCGCCGCGAATTAAACGTAATTCCATCCATTCAACACACAACACAAAAAACGTCAGGTAACCGCCACTTTGAATTAACCGACATTTTGACCGGTGAACTTTCACTTATTCCTCGTTCCTAATACTGTTTTCAGCAGTTCTTAAGTTACTAAAAGTAATTCGAATAACTTTTTCTTTAAGTAAATATAGTATGAAAGTTTAAAACAAACTTTTTATGTTGACGAAATCGCGCCATAACTCTGCGCAACGCACGACATCACAGCTTGTACCCGTAGCTGCCGGCCGAATGAATGAATGAAATGAATACAAATGTCCAAACGCTAGAACGGTGTTACCAGCGTATACGTTTTTTATACCAGCTTGATAAGTACACAACATTTTATACGATTGAGCCAGGTGTATATTTGTCTAATTTAATTTTTATAGTTTAATGAATAAATGTAATTTATTATACTGACGTCCTGGACCTGTGTAGGGGACAGTGCGTGTTACAGCCCACAGCACAAATAACTGAGGGCGGCAAAAAAAAAAAGCGGTCTATTTTTGTTGTCAGATGCACATGAGATCCATCCCCAAAAGAAAATGTTTTTGTGTATGTTATATACAGTGCCCTGTTATTAAAAATATTAATTGTTAGATGTTCATAATAAAATAGACCTCGTATTATTGCTCAATAGCTATTGATATGGTATAGTCACATTAAGCTTATCTGTTATGTCTTTGGACCGTACATGTCCTAAGCGGTATAGAGTTGAATTTAAATCGTAAGTGTTAAATTTGAACACGAAATTAAAGCTAAAGAAAAAAAATGGTCTAGTTTTTCAGGAAAAATAAATATTTTTCCTTAATCTATCCAAGTTTTATAATACATAAATCAAATCTTACAATAATCAAATAATAATAAATTCCCAAAGAATGTAAGCAAGTATTACGTATGCTATCCATACTATAAGAAAAAAGAATGTGAACAATTTCATTTTTATAATGATACCCCATTTCTGCGGAAACTGTAAATTAATAACATGGTACTACTTGAATGCCGAAAGACATCTAGCAATAGAAATGTTTACTATTTGAAATCATTTTTCGTTTATATAAAATAACATAGGTGGCGCTTAAAATACTAACCTCCCGCCATCTGTTGAAGATTTTGGGTACTTTTTTGTGAAAATTACAAGTTTTGGAGGTTGCGTGCAAATGCAAATAGGCAGTAGTAAGTATTGAGAATAAACATTAGATGGCAGGACGTATATTATCAGATTTTTTTAGTAGTAGTAGTGCTCCGGCTCCTTGAGAAAGAGTTCGTTCAGGGCAGTACTGTTAGCTTACGTATTTCTGTCGCCAAGCAGCAATGTGAGCATTGTTATTGCGTTCCGGTTTCGAAGGGTAAGAGTGCTGGGGAAATTACAGGCACATGGGACTTGTCAATTTATGTCTCAGGGTGACGGGCATAGTGGCAGTGGTCCTCAGATCTTTGTGATTTAAGGTTGTGAGTGGTACTGCAACTGTTATGAACAGACGTGCCGCTTACGTCACTTTGTATTATAAAAAATAAAGATTTTTGATTGCCTAAAATATGTAATAAAACGCGAATTTGCACAAAAAATAATATATTACATTTCATGTAACAAAGCGTTTTACGTAAACGTAAATATTCGCAACACCATTTAAATACACTTAACACCTAGATTATAAGGGAATACAACAATGCCTCGCATTTATTACGTTTATTATATACTTAATATTATTATAATGTTTTGATATAAGCTACCTATATAAAGTGGTGGTTAAACATTGTAATATAATTAATTTACTAGCAACAAACAGATCGCTTGTTTAAAAATACGAGTATAACCATGGTATAACCCCATTAATTAAAGAATCCCTAGTTGAATTTGCTATACCTAATGAAGATGTTTAGTGCGGAAATACTAAATATACCAAAATTAGCTGCAACTACTATAGAAGTATGTACGAATAATAAATCGATACACATTGTTATACCATATGAACTACTTTCCCCTGCAGCTTCTTTTGCAAAGATTTAATGTAAGAATACTTACAGTTCATAAATAAAGACAAAGGAAATACGATTATATAAAAAAATGCAAATTCAAATAGGTACTTGTTTCATGTTTAAAAAGAAATTTGTGGATTTCTCCCTGAACTGTCCTTTGGAATTGTTTTCCTGGGCCCTGATTTTAATTCAATGCGATCCGATCGGGTAGCCCATTCGCAACATTATACGCTTCGACTCTTGAAAGACGCAGTTTCTGATCGGGAGAGGCAATCAAAATCAAGCTGCAGATTCGCAATTTTATTTATAGTTCCAAAACCAAAATATTCCGGTGGAATTATTCTGGAAAGGTTCTTCGTTTTCCTGATACGTAATGTCATTTATAAAATCAAAATGTTGTGTATTTTCCGCAATCAAAATATTCCGAAATAATCTTTGCAAGAGAAGCCTGCAGATAGCGAAACAAAGTCGTCTAAGCTCATGGCAAATATGATTTTTCTTACGTCCAATCCATCCAGTAAATACATAATTATGTTATATATGTATTCTTACAGATTAAAAATCTACCCCATCTTAATTCCATGGCAGTTTCTTTGATTACATTATTATTTGATATTTAAAGTAATATTTTACGGTATATACTAAGTAATTACTTAAAAAGGGGTAAGTAAAAGTATACGAATGTTTCTTTTCTTTCTAAAAATCTATGTAGATAAATATGTACAAAGGATATGAGTACAGTGATATGAAAATCTTTTAAAGCGCCGTCGATCGTTGCGAACTAGGGCGCCAATTCTGTTGAACAAATAAAAACTAAACATTAATTTTAACAAATTACTGTTTAAAGTTATATAAATACCAAATGTACAATTGCATTGTACTAAATATTACATTACTTTATAGCGTTAGGACAGGAAACTAGGATGTCAATTCTGTTGAACAAATAAGACTGGAATAAGATTAAAAAACTACTTTTAACAAAATGTTCCTATTACTGCAGTGTTAATTTCTTATTTTCAAGGGCGCACTAAAGTGTTAAATTAGTTCACGTTTAGAAATATTCAAAATCGAATTAATACTGACAATTTTAGTTTTAAATAAAATAGGTAAAATTCTATTTTTATAAATAATACAAAAATTTCTAATCTACTGTTTTAGACTCACTATTCGCTTTCATTTTATTACCTATTTTTCTTAATTTCTATTATTATAACAAATAGAGTTACAGTAACAAAATTATAATAGTTACGTACACACAAAACGCAAAGAAAATAATTTGAAACTTTCAATTTCCGTTTCTATTTATATAAAAAAAGAATAAGTACATAAACACAAAGTAAATTTGGAAACAATAAGCATTTCAGGTGTCATCAATTGCTGCCTTATTGATTAGTTTTTTGATATTGACGAATCTATCTAGGACTAATGAAAAAAAAAAACAACAAAAAACGCTAATTACTTCAATGACCCTTACTGCTATTAATCCCATACATTTTTAGATATACAAGTAGGTACTAGTTAACTTCTTACGTCAGTTTTCTACATCTTAAATGAAAATTAAGAACATATAAGGTGTATAATAAGCATACGAAAATAAAATTTACTAGGTCGCAGTGGCAGTGCAACGAAGCAAGATTGCTTGAAATTTTTAATACATTAATCGCTTGCTGTAATAAAATATTGACTCACTGAACAACAATTTCTCTCACTCCTGGAGGAAACGACCATTAATAATAGAAAAAAAAATGTTGCGCGCAATACTAATATATTATTATATGACTTTCTGTTATAAGCTTCACCGAATCGACTTTTTCTTTAGGAATATACGCTCTTTGTCAATGCTAGAAGGATTAAATATTTACGGGACATGAAGCGCTAGATATTTACATTCCCACATTAGCTACATCGATGTTAAATTTGGTCTCTTTTGACGTTTTACATCCAAAAGTATTCACTTGACTTAGAACAGAACTTTACTGAAACATATTTAAATATAGTAGTGAAAACAGCACAGTTTCATTTGAAAAGAAAATGCTGGGAATCTAGGTCACCACTTAATTTTTATTAGATCAGTCTGATCAAATCGTACACAACAACTGACATAATCAGCTGAAGAAAAGAATACGAATTCACCGTCAAATTCACCAGAGAAACCTTTTCTCAGCTTTCTTTTAATTTGTGTATTTTATTAATCGATGAAAACGCTTGACAATGTTTTCTATAATCTAAGTAAATTTTATAAAGTGACATAAAACATTTGACAAATGTGCATCATGTTTAATTTACTTTTATTTTATTTTATGGACTTTTAAATTTATATATTGTATATCTTAATTGAACTTTAATGACTGTAATTTTAAGACATTGTACGCCCGACTTGGGTAAGAACTGCGAAACAAATGTATGGATGCATACTTAAGTAACATCTTAATCTACCAGTTCATACAATAAATGTTTCTGATTTCTGCTAGTTTTATTCCACCAAAATTATTCGATATAATTATTTTTTGCCTAGACACTTACTAAAAACCTCTATCTCTTAAAATTCACGATCGGCAAATAACCGATTCTGTCACCATTTTTTCTAGTGATTATTTTTTTGTGAAGTTTTTTCTAGTACCATCAAAACATGGCGCATTTTTCGTTTTAACGGGCTTTTACTATACGAGTGCCCTTGGGCCGAGTTCGATCTATACGATTTTGGTTTACACGTTACGAGTTCATCAGACTCCAGGTAGCATTTGTTTCCTTGCACAATCAAGATAATGACGAGGTATAGGAGTCGTAGCAGATATGTTAATGGCTGAAGTACAAAATTAAGCAAAAAACTCAAGAGAAAAATTTGGACCACAAAATTTTATTGGATTTCAAGAAATCTGTATGCAGTAGAGGCAAAGTGTCAAGAAGTCTTAGTGACGAAAGTATACCGATGTAAAAAGTATGTATGAATCCTTCACCACTAGTATTAAAGTCATCGCACATCCAGTGATACCTAAGTGTAAAAATTATGGTCTCAATTACTTGAACAAGTTTTTGTATATTTCGCCGACACAGCGTATCTACTTAATTGTTAAAATGGTAAAAGAAACAAACAATGTCTTAATAAAAAGTTTGAATAAAATCATGTTTCACCAAAGATCCTATTGTAATATATATTAAAAGGATTTTGCAACTTTTATTTGGCGAAACATTGAAAATTATACCTTTACAATTTACAACAAAGCTCCTTGAAACACAAAATCGACTTAATTTGAAATACATGCATACACATCTCATGAAAAATAGCAAAGAGCTACAATAACAGTACAGCTATTTACATATTTTACACACGTTTAGATCAATACAGCAATTTGGCAATTTACTGGTTTATTTAAAAACGCACATAAATTCTTTAACGATTTAAATATCTACTTAGTCAAATATTTGTTGCGATTACTGGAGGTGCTATACAGTAACTTTTTTATTTTTATTTTTTTATTTGTTGTCATGTAAACATTTAAAGTGGTTGCTAGCACTATTAACACTCGAAAGTCATGGTAGAGGTACTGAGGGCCAATTCCAGAACGCTACGACATTTTCGCCATTTCGAAATAATATCACAGCCTCAATGCCGAAAATGTCATGGAAATCTCTGAAGTCCAAAACTTCTTGAAATAATTGAACGTGACGAAACGCATCGTTGTGTTACTTCACTGTCAAAATTATGTCTTTGACAAAAATCATAATTATTAACTGATAATGTTATCACTCGTGGTCGGCTCCTTATTTAACTACAATTCGGATGCTCGCTATCGTTGAAAGCACTGTCGTGGAAATTTTCGACATTTGTATTGTTGAATATAGTACTGGGATTGAGGAAATTGAATACACAATCAACGTTTAAAATGTTATTTGCAATTTTATGTAATATTTAAGTTAACTTCGATCATACTTAGAAAGTGAAAAATGCAAAAACTTCGTATATCAGAAAAAAATGGAGTTTTAATAATTCTTTACTAAAACCATCGTCCCATTGTTTGAGTTTAAATTTGAAACTTAGTGTAGTAGTTGTGTACGGTAAGTACTGAGATCCAGTTGTCATATTTCTGATCAACATAACACCTTCAAGATTTATAGTGAACCAAAATCCACACTGCGACAGCAATTCCATCTGACCACTGGTTCCACATGACCACAACTATTTTATTTTTATACGAATTTGCGCTTGACATTACTGTTTCTACTACCTCTGACCACATAGGCGTGTTGAACGTTGTACATCGATTTATGTACATCGTGAGACTTTGAGAAATCCAAAGACGACATCGGACTCGATTTTAGAAAATTTATCGACTGTGAAGTTTTCTCTATCGCACGAGAATCAGGACCCAGGCGATTGTACAGACACTGGCATTCCACTAAAAACATACAGATTATTGTATTGTTAATGTAATTGGTATTCAACAGTTTTTATGCAACCATAAGCAACCACAGATGCTTGAGGAAACTGTTATTTAGCAGTGTTACCGTAATACATCTTATGAGTTAATATTATACTAAGTTATATTGTTCAAAATATCTATGTTTTGACGATTATGTACTCCACGTCTGAACACATACAATGGCAATTCATTCAATAACTATACATACCGGCTTCGATTTTGGCAAACGCAATCGAAATTTAAGTTAAGTTGATTTCATATGACTGATGTATGACTGTTTAATTTTAAGTAAGAAAAAAAACAGATTTCATTTTAGTTTGAAGTTGTTATGCATTTATTTTATGAGTAAATATACCAAGAGCTCTTCAAATTAACAGCTTCAAACTAAAACTGACACTTTTGTCGTTATTCGAATTGATATCCGAAGAGATAGATGAACTGAACTTAATCTAAGTTTAGTTTGTGTATGCCCGAATCGACACCATTGTCATACATTCATGAACTTAATGACTATCAGCATAGTACGTTACAAATATTAAGCGAGATATTATTACCCACGGACTTCCTTTTTTTAAATTTGAATGTAATTCTAACCAACCAGGTGCCACCTGGGTACCAAAAAAATTATTTCCCTATTATTATTGAAATGATAGATAACATGTCCATTGATTTCCCATAAGCGCACACAATAATTATACATAACAAAAAAAAAGATAATGATAGGAATTAATTGAATTATATATAATGAACTGCTCGTAATTAATTAATTTTCTTTAAAAAAAAACTCTCGAAAAAATCTCGTAAGCAAATCGCACTTACTCATCTTAGTGTAATTGGTCACATCTGTAAAATTATAACTTCAGGACAGACAAAGATTCTACAAACGAAATTAGTAACTAACGAAATTAGTCGATAAGTTTATACGCTTAAATAGGATAGCGATAAAATTTCAAATATACATAATTTGCGTCATATACCTCGTATTATTTTATGACTTGCATGTGATAAACGCACTTTTATCACATACATGTTTTAAAAACTAAATATTTTCATAATGTTCTGTAACTCGTTACTTAAACTTACTTCACTAGTATAAATAGTTTATTCTTACGTGTAATAGACAGAAATGTTTCGAAATATGTAGGCATTATGTTATAGACAGGTAATAGTTACTACATTGAGTTTATTTAGTGATAAGACGGTTTATTATATGCATATGTAATAAGATATGTTAAGTTCTCATTGAAAATTGTAAAATGTATCTAAGTTAAAGTTGGTAAAATCAAAGCATTAGACTCGGACAAAACATAAAAACCATTATTATACACTTAACTATATACTAGTACATAAATATATATACGTATATAACTATACATATACAGTTTATAATTCCAAAAGCATCGCTTACGATTTGACATATTTATATTATGAGTCATAATACAATAAGACAACTTAATAATTATAATGTTATATGATTAATTAAAATTAAACAAGGTACGAAGTTTAGAAAGCAATTATTCGGAAAGTAACTAAATAAAAAAATAATAACGTCTGTGGTACCAGCCATATCTGCTATATGACTGGTGCCGTATATGATAAAATTTTATGTGATATGAAAAATGATACATTTTTACTATAGCAATGAACAACTTTTTGCTACAATAATGCCATTCATATCGCAAAAAATCTAATATACTCAACCAACACGTACGGGGAACAGTTGATTATTTTTATCTTTTTTGCAACCGACCCTTAAAATTTGTCCCGTGATCATGAAAACATCATCAATATATACAGGTATTGGTGATAGCCATAATCAGTTGCTCTAAGTAAACTGTGGAAGAAAAACCTTTTATAACAAACCTTTTCACAACAACAATTATAAAACCACATAGATAAAAAAATACTTAAGACGTAACTGCAGTAGAATAAGTATGTACTTGTTATGTATAAAAACAAATGAAATAATTATTATAATCGAGTTTAAAAACAAATATGCTTTTTTGGGAGTCATGACACTTATCAATGTGAAGTCGAAACGCACGATGCCTATTTCGCTTTTATTGCCTGGTCACAAAGGTTTTTCCGTCCAAGCCGATAAGTATGGTGACTCTCTAACTTCTCACAAAACTATTCTATCTCGAACTTTTGACTAGGGCTATCTACAAACACAGTAGAACATCAATATACCAGGACCAAGTCCTTATATACACAGCCACAAAACAAATCATCCAAGGAACATTTACAACATCAGTCTAATCGTGTAAGACGAAAGACTTGAGACTCGGTGACATTAATATTCTGTTTCTCTGTTCTGTCGTTGACATTTTTTTTCTATTATTTGGTAAATATTTTACATAATGTTGCCGTTTAATTGTTAAGCTTTTGACAGATTGTTGTTAAAACCACAGTTTCTACTATCATCATCAGGTTATGGCAGTCCACTGGACATAGGTCTCTTCCAATGTGCGCCATTTCGTCCAAGCCTTTCTTAGATAGTTATTCCATCTGGCCAGAATCCTGAACTACGTCTGCCGAGCCGTGGTCTCCACTCAAGAACTCGTTGGTCCACGCCTTAGCTCCGTATGTCATAACGGGTAGAACGCACTGATTGAAAATCTTTGGTAACGAGAAGACCTGATGTAGTTTTCCAAATGCTGTCCTTTTTCGTTTCTACTACTTGTCAAAAGTTAAACCTGGAACCTGGACAGAATGTCAATGCCACCGGGCATGAATTATGGCCTAAGCCCTTAGCTGGCAAGTTTCGAACACTAACACAACACTTATAACACAACTTAACACTAGAGTAGTCCCATTGTAAAAGCGCAAATAAATTGAGTACTCTCCGCACCACACCGCTAGCCAAATCACTTCAAAATAATATTCTAGAAATAGACTTGTTCATACGCGACTATTCGTAGAAGAGTTAATAAGTAGAAGTAGATACAGGTACTAATAAGACATAAGTGACAGTTAACTCCAAAATTTCAATAATAGTACATCTGTTATTGTCAAAGAAAAAAGTTTGATTTTTAATTGTGTAATTTTTTCTTTGCGACCATCCTCTGTGGTATAATTCAAAACGTTGATCTTTGTTCCTCTTTTCCATTAAACATTTCCATTTTTAGAGGACTAATTCACAAGAATTGTCATTATTCTAAAACTTAGTAGCCTGTTATCTTCTGTTTTGAATTAATTTCAATCGCATCTACGTCTTCGGAACTAAACGAAATGGATCTGTAGAATTTGTTTATTCAGTCACAGAGTGATTAAGTAAACAATCCCAAATGAATAATTCTACGTAATAGAGAAAATGACAGGCGACTGGCAAGAGTAATTTTACTAAAATTGGACGCATCTTTTCTAACTTGCAGTAGTTTAAACAAGTACAGATAAAAAACCTATTAGGTAAAGATATTTGTAACTAGGCTTGGATTTAGGGATATCCCGCGGCTCTTCAGAGAATTGCGGCGCGAAATTCAGCTCGGAGACTGCATTACAAGCTAAGCTTTAACATCCAAAGCTGAGTTAGTGCATTGCATAGAATGCGGCCGACGTTCGAACTGCGCTATAATGCTAATAACAAGATTTTTCAACAGCGCTATTTACAAGCAATGATGTTACGCAACGCTCGAAAATCTGAAATTGCAAGGTATCAGTCAAGGGCAACGCGTATGTTTCGTTCCATTTCCTTCCATCCGTTCTCGAAAGTTCCAGAACATTCGAGATCATTCCAGATGTTTCCAGAAGCTAGCGACGACCGGACCGTCTGCGGTCGGTGAAGGAGTGCCTCAACTAATTGCGCACCCCGCGCTAGGGATCCACCTCATGGCACACCTCCATGTAGTCAGGGTCATGCATGATGTCCTTGATCATATCTTTGAGCATTGTGTACCGAGGAAACATCGGGTACATCTTTGTGCTGACGTATTCTGACTGGAAAAACAAAAACCACCATGAATATGGAGACAAATAACACTTCCTTAAATATTAATTATGCGTATATCAGAAAAGGCAATAAGTGTATTTATTCTCTGTCTCAACTCGGTCTGTTAAGTAAAACTGAGATTTTACCTTGAGCTCTCTAATTAGATTTCTAAGACCAGTATACTTTTTTAGCAGACGGTAGAGATCGTTCGTCATCTGGGTGTTCTCTGCTTCTATCTGAGATGTTGTCATGTCTGGAAAGATAGAAAAAGATACATTTCATGAAATTACAATGAAAAAGAAACATTATACAAGTAATACACAAATATCCATCATCATTTTTTAATTGTACTCTCAGTTATCAATATATTATACGTGTTTCTTCAAAGGAATATTTGTTTGTTTTATTTGTTGAATATTATGTTTGGGCCATAAGTCTTCCATGCTGGTTTATTGGTTAGGGTCATATATGCGTTTTCTAAGGTTTGTGAATATTATTCGACTACCAGGTTTCATCATGAAGGTGTCCTTAACCGTCTGTTGCTACGAATCATTCTCAAGTGTACGTAACTTGGACATTAAAGGTACATTCCGCCACACTGCGATTAGAAGCGTTAATTTCAAATATTCACGAGTATGATGTTTGATAAAAAAATTCTGTTACCTAGGAATTGCTATTATTAATTTTATTGTTTCTTACTGTTAAAATCATAGCGACTGTATTTATTGCATTTCTGTCACTATCGGGTTGCCGTAAGACGTTGTTAGTCAAGCAATAGAAATTTGTAAGTCTGTTATTTATATTAAGACAGTAAATGCAAATGTGGAATCCCGTATCTCGTTACTTGTGCGGGAACGCTTGGCTTAACTCATTGTTAGAGCTTAATTTGTTTTACAAGCGGGTTGCGGCGGAGCCCAGCTATTTGATTTTTAGTCAAGGATTAAATTTATTTTTAGCCGACTTCAAAAAACGGAGAAGGTTCTCAAGTTGTTTGTTTTTTATTGTATATATGTTACGCGATAACTCCGGTATTTGTGAACCGATTTTCATGATTCTGTTTTTGTTGGAAAGAGGGTATACATCCACCTCTAAGGGTGGCTGTTCACGCATGAAGATTCATTTTTATAAATAGCGCCTAAACTTTAGTATAAGGAGCAATTATTTTAATGATTGATTTTGCTATTCTTTAATTAAAGGCGTTTTTCTATCTCAATATACTTTGAGTAGTGAGAACCGATTTTTATTATCTTCTGTGTCAAGTCCCGTACAGTGGCGAACTAGGGGATGAATCCGGGTTTACGCACTTTCCGGTAACCGATTTCAATAAAACTTGGTAATTATATGTAATTCCACGTACTTTTGAGGTCGGTTTTTTTAGTACTCTGTACTGAGATTATTTCAAGCAATTCCTATAAGTGCTTATGAAGGAGAAATAAATTCGATAAACTTGGATGTTGAAAGTTATGAAGTCAATTACGGAACCGTTTTGTACTTAAATTTTTTTCCTGTATCTGTTGTGTTTTTATTCCAAATACAAATTGCAAAATATATATGAATTTATAGTGAATATGTATTTTAAAATTTTATACTAAAAAGGAGGTTTTCATTTAAATGAAATTGTAGAGTTTCAATCAAATACTGAAGTGTGTTTTCTGTTTGAAAGCCTTGTTTACAACCAGGCATGTTTGTACGCATAAAATGTTGACAACAAACACTATATTATATGCAAATAGTTACCAGGGGGCAAAAGGGGCTACGAAAATTGTGAACATTTTAATATTTTAATAAAACCGCTCTTGGGCCTAAATTTTGAGCCAATTTTGCGGGAATTCGGTGGGACTCCAATTATCATAAATTAGTACCGACATTGGACGAAATGTTAGTAGGAACAAGTTCCTAATTTCAGTAAGATTCCCGTTGATAACAAAGGTTCGCCCGGAAACTTGGTTGGTTGCCAACGGCAGCAGTTTTAAGGTGTGAAAGCACTAACTGTGTTCGCAAGATTGTCTTTGCAATTCGTAGAAATGTAGAGAATGTTACTAGCTCTAAATTGGTTTTTCGTCTTGGTTACTAGCATTTGTGCAAAGTGTGTCAGTTCTTCTTCTAGTTGGGAAATCTGTTTGAAATTGAAACGGATAAAGTCCAATTTTAAGTATTTTAACCACTTACGAATATTACTTACGAACTTCACACATTTCACGACGGTATTTGGTGCACATTTACGGATACGTCTGTTTTGTTCTCGATCAAAGTTGATTTAACAGTAGCAGTAGAGCAGCTCCTTGTGAAAGAGTTCGTCCAAAGAAGTACTGCCACCTTATCTATTTCTGCCGCCAAGCAGTAAATGTGAGCATTCATGCGTTCCGGTTTTAAAAGATTCCGGTGAAACTATTGGCAAATGGGGCTTGTCAATTTTGTGTCACAGAGTGATGAGCAACTGTAACGGATCGATTACCACCAGGCGTATGATTTGTTAATCTGGTCACTCTCTCTCGTCACAACTCGTCGTATATCATAAAAAAATTAATTAATTAAATATTGCAAAACAATGCACCAAATCATAAATTGTATAAACACATTTTAGCATAACTATGAATAAAAAATTCATTTTGTTATATTTGAAGTTCGGAATTTCGAAAAGTTCTTTATTGAAAAAAATATTGGAACATATTTTTTTTATAATTATTAATACAAAGGTAGAACACTCAGAAACAATTCCTTTGATCCGGTCGGATTCGAACCGACGTCTTCTTGCATACCGTGCCAGACGCTATACCAACTAAGCCACGGAACCAACCAACGGACCTCACGAATTTTTCTATGTGCTTGCGTCGTGTCTTTGTATTTGGTTTTTCAACGACTTTTTAGTCGTATATATTTACATTTATATATTTATTTATACGTATATTTACATAGTTCATATTTTTTTTATGTTTTTAAATTTTATGTGAACTTCGTTGACGTTCATCTAAAAATGTAAATGCAGGCCGAATCAATAAACGGACATGACTGGATTTTATCAGTTGCTGTAACAGGCAAAAAATAATTAAAAAGGGTGAATTGAAAACGCTCATAGCGTTGGACGACGCGACATGCCATTGAATAAATTCAGGAAGGAAATAAGGGGAAGAATATTAAAACTCAGACTCAAGACACTCTACACATTGGCTCTAAAAGTTAAAAATGACATGTAGAACTAGATAGCTTCTTTTGGTTTTCTTAAATCAAGGCGCAATGTTGCAGGAAGGCGACGAAAATGCTTTGAAAGTAGGATAAAAGTGAATGTTGTTACAGATGGTCGCTATTCGTAAGTAAGAAATCGGTATTATGTAAAGCATTATTTTTTCTGCATAGAATGGTTTGAAGATGTCGTAAATCTGCATGCTATATATTAAAAGAAATGTGTAAAAATTTCCGTTACTCACCATTGAGCCTCTCTATCCGTTCCCTTCGGTCTGCTGCTTCTTCAGCTAACTTGGAAGAAGTCTTGACACCTTCTCCAGACTTCTGCGTCTTCTCCATGATGGCGCACGCGCGCAGCACAAAAGCGGGTACGGTCTCCGCCTTCTCCTGACGAGGAATCTCCACTAGCGACCAGTATTGCGTCTCCAGGCGAATAACATCCTGAAAAAAAAAGGTTATCGATTTCAGCATTAAAATTAAATTTTGTTATATTTTATGAATTTGATGCAGTGGTAAAATAATAGTGTCAAGTGTTATTTGTTCCACTGTGATTATAAACTGATTATGGCTGATAAACTTCTGAAAAGTATTTAAGATCTAAGAAACTTGGTATATTTTTAGGGCAATATAAAACATCTTTTATTTAGACATAGTAACATGTTAATATCAACAATGTACTGTTTAGAACTTTTTGAAACAAAAATGTCTGAAATAAATCAAGTTCCCATTTTAAACAGATGTTGTCCCATCTACCCACAAAAGCGAGTTAAAATGACGTCAACCAGGTTTAGAAGTTTCGGCGGCGGAATAACGCCGATTAAAGGGTCCCCTCGGGATTTCAATTCGACAGGGCCATAAAAAAATGCTAATAAGTCCCTTCAGGGCGCGAAAGGTTTATTAATCCGAGGGAACTGGAAATGGATGGTTCTTATTAGAATTAAATTTAAACATTTTGATTAAAATATACTAAAAAAGATGGCCAATAAGATTTTTGATTAACCATTTGCACAGTCGAAATTATTTAAGTTGAAATCATTGAAAAAATAACAAATCATTGAAAAATATAGGCAATTAAACGCATTTTTCGGATATAAATCGTGTATTTACTATGGGTATAGCACACATTGTATTGTATAATAATACTACATTGTTTTTCGATTTTTCTATATGGCTTAGAGTAGTGGACGATTTAGGCATCAGAATTGAAAAAAATAGACGCTTTCGAGATGTGTGCCTGCTAGTAGGACCAAATATTCCATAATTGAGCAGCTATATCGCGGATACACTTTCCACAATATGCTACCAGAGAATCCTACGGTATTTTTGGTCATATTGCTCGCCGACAACCAGACAACCTTGACAAACTGGCTGTGGTGGGTAAGGTGGAGATAAGAGACTCCGCGGTCGACCACCTAGCCGATGGAGTGACCAAGTGACTTCCCTATAACAACTGCCCTGAAAGAGGCCAAAAACAGAACCAGATGGAAGAAAATCGTCCATAAAGTCTCGAAAACCTCTCGGGAACACGACCTTCGGCAATGAAGATAACTACTAAGAAGAAGATCATGGGAATTGTAATAGATCCGAAACGGTGGTACGTTTGAAAAAAAAAACAAATATACGTGATTTAGATTCGATAAACTATAGTTTTATTTCCTATGTGTAACAAGCGCGAAAACCTAAGAACTAGATTTGTTGAAAAATAGCTTTGTATGAACAATCTAGAATGCATTGTGTATGCGATGTGTTTTGTTCAGTACCTACTTCCTTAAGTGAATTATTATGGTCATTCATATACATAGGAACTTGTTCACTTAACTACAGAAAAAAATTTACAGCCCCCAACGCCCCAGTGCGTTCTACATTTCTTAAACAAAGCTCTATATATACATATATATTAAAGAGTTTATCGCTTTTGATTAATATTTATGCAGTCGGTTTTTTGTTTTTTTAAATAATTTAGTTTATTCGTTACAATAATTTGCCTTTTTACTATCACAAATTTTGCCTGCAATATCGGCCTTCCCCGGTGAATGCCAATAATCCTCCCCATTTTTGATGAAAATTATTGTCAGCGTCAGCAATTTAAAAATTAATTGAGTTGTACGAATGATGTTGTAAATTTAAAAGATAATTTTGCAATATTCCCATGAATAGATACTTGATTTTCTTTCGCTAATTGAATAGTAATTGTAAATTTGTCTTCTTATTGTTGACATAATTTACTTAATAATAATACAATAATAATAATGAATAAATACAACGTTAATTGAAATTTTCTTACGTTTCACGTTTAAATACAAATTAATGTTAAAAATGTCTCCATCAACAAACTCATCAACATGGTGAAACGATTTTTCCAACAATAAATGTTCCTAATCCTTTTTGAAGGATATACAAGATAGGATTGTGCGCTATTTTAAGTACAATTAGAGAGATTATTAAATATTTTTTGGGCGATGTTTTACAATATGTAACTTTGGTACCATTATACCACGTCTGTCTTTTTTCCTAGTAACAAGCGTCTTGGATTCGGTCTCCTTACAAAAAGTTATATTAATTTATAACAAAAAGACCTACCACAAAAGTTTGCGGAATACATCTATTTGACAAGTTTTATTGAAATTGGTGAACGGAAAGTGGGTGCAACCCAATAAACCGGATCATAACCTAAGTTACTACCCTTATAGGTGGAATATGAAATTCTTCAAATTTGAATGCGATCACTGCTAAGGTACCCCCTTTCCAACAAAAAAGAATCATCGAAATCGGTACACAAAATATCGGAATAATCGCGTAACGTTCACACAAAAAATACAGTCTAATTGAGAACCTCCTATTTTCAATTCGGTTAAAAAGCAGATGTTCGTTGTTTTCTTAACCGATTTCAAAAAAAGGAGGAGGTTCTCAATTCGACTGTATGTTTTTTTTGTATGTATGTTACGCGAGAACTCCGGTGTTTGTGAACCGATTTTCATGATTATTTTTTTGTTGGAAGGAGGGTACCTCCATAGTGATCCCATTTCATTTTGAAGAAAATCATCCACCTCCAAGGGTGGCTGATCACGCATGAACATTCATTTTTATAAATAGCGCCTAAATTTTACTTAAGGAGCAATTATTTTAATGGTTCGTTTTGCTATTCTTTAATTCAAGGCGTTATTCTCTCAATATACTTTGAGTAGTGAGAACCGATTTTTATTATCTCCTCTGTCAAGTCGTGTATAGTGGCGAACCAGGGGACATTTCAATAAAACTAGACAAATAGATGTAATTCCACGTACTTTTGAGGTCGGTTTTTTGAGCACTCTGTACTGAGATTATTTCAATGCATATTTAAATTCCAGTTTGCACATTCTTTAAATGAAAATGGACACGACACATTTGCATAAGTTTACAAAAGTAACTCGACACCAAACAATACACTGCAATATTCCAGGAACAATGTTTATTTTAGTCACAGCTTTTTTGGCGTAATATGCGTGACTGTCTGTGTTATGTATACGCTCTTATGGTTCGTTTATTATTGTTAACTTTTTTGCAAAGAATACTCGTTACTGCTCACTTAAGGAACAAACTGGAGCCAACTCACACTTAACTATATTTCCTTTGTTCCGTTCTTGAACAAGGTAACATTATTGGCTATTTCTTTTGATACGTACTCTTCTTGTTAACAAGCGATTACAGTTCTAACATATTCTTGTACTTGTGTCCTAACTTGTGATAGGCCGTTTTTAACCTACTTTTAACCTGCTTAAAAGGAGGAGGTGCTCAATTCGTCTGTATTTTTTGTTGTGTTTGTTACGCGATTATTCCGATATTTATAAACCGATTTCGATGATTCCTTTTTGTTGGAAAGGGGGTACCTCGATAGTGATCCCATTCGAATTTGAAGAAAATATTCCTCCTCTAAGGCTGGTTTCACAAGGACTACATACGCGTAAGGACAGTCCGCCTGCGGTCCATCCACAGTGCTCTGAATCGAATATTTAATTTAGTGTGGCTTGTGTGGAGTTCACGCGGAGCATGTTCCGTACGGAGCAATCCGCGTCACTGTAAAACGATATTCTAACGCCACACGTGTCCGGTAATCCGCGCGGAGGGCCCACATTTATCTGCGGGCCACATCCGCACTGCTCTGAAACCAGCCTAAGAGTGGCAAATTAGAGGATGAATCCAGTTTATTGAATTTCACCCACGTTCCGATGACTGATTTCAATAAAACTTGGTACGTAGATGTAATTCCAATTAAAATAAAACACAGCGACAACGGATAAGCAAATTTTTGAGGTCGATGTTTTTTTGGTAATAAAGTTATAATTATTTTATGTTAAGGCCAAATGGTATCGTGGTTGCATAGGTTTTGAAGTGTGTGAGGTAGATGCGGGTAAATTTATCGATATTTAAACATTTGCCCTTAAGAAATTAAATATACTCTCTTACTCTAAAATAAGCTCATACTTCCCTGGCGTGTTTTTTACAGAACACCGGAGAGAAAATCTGTAATAACTATCGCATGAAACTGATTTTTCCGTAGATGAACGTAGTAATTATAATGATTTTTTTTCATAACTTTGTTTTTTGTCGAGTGAAGTTTAGCCAACCGTGTTTCGGGCCGAAAAACAAATTTTCCGTGTGGTCGAAATGCGTCTTAACTACTATTTTGGATCTCTTTACCTTCATAGATGGCGCTACGGCTAAAAAGTCGCTGAAAAAAACCAAATACAAAATCACGACAACAAACACACACAGCTTAGTTGGTATAGCGTCCGGCACGGTATGCTAGAAGACGTGTCGGTTCGAATCCGACCGGATCGAAGGATTTTTTTCTGAATGTTCGATCTTTGTATTAATAATTATAACAAACTAGTGGAGTAATTCAATTCAATAATAATTTGAACAATAGGTTTGTTATACGCACAATAAGTTAACAAAAACATAATTTATCGAGTTCTGAGGCTTTCACGATTGCTACAAATTGGAAAATAAACTATTTTTTCAGATCATGTATTTATGTTGAGTCAGCCGTGACCATAGGAGTTGTAAAGGACCAGGAACGTTGGTTCATTTGAAAAAAAAATACAAATATAACATAATTTTAGACGAGCTGTAAGATAATTTGCAATTATTTTGCAGTTCGTTTTTATTTATTCCCAATACACTAAAGATGCAATGAAAAATTGCAACTTAGATTGCCGGTATGAAATTTTGCATGTGATAAACTGAATAATACGAGCGTTTGCCCACTGCGCCGGACTCGTATCAGGGGGTCTACTCTCGATCTCCGTCCGACATCTGTCCGAAACAATTACTACCAAATAAGCAATACTTGACCAAATGAAAAGACGCGTGATGCGAATGAGGCTTTATACTTGATACTTGTCTTTTAATTTTGTCGAATATTACTTATTTGACAGTAATTGTTTCGGACGAATGTCGGA